ATATAAATTATACTAATAAAATATACTAATAAAATCTTCTAAAATATACTAATAAAATCTACTAATATAACAATATATATAGACTTATATATATATATAATCTTGATATACATAATACTGTATAATAAATGCTGTGTATATCTAAAGTAAACTTTTTAATGAAAAGCTCTAGCGATTAATAATTTTAGTATCAAAACAGTATAGTATTGTACTATATTTTATATTACTTTAATATAAATATTTATTAGAATTGTACTAACTTTATATATAATTTTAAAATTTTAATTTGGATACTATATATATATGATTTGTTAAAATTTTCTCTAGTTGATTAACAGATTATTAATTAATCAAAATTATAAAATTTTAGTTAATATAAAACAGTCAAAAATCAAAACAAGTAATTAAACTTAATTATTTTAAAATACTGTAAGATATATTTAAATTTTTGTTTTTTTTATTGTAAAAACTTTATATAAAAGTAAAACAACTAATAAGAAAAACTTTATTAACTAAAAAATATAAAAGATTGATATTTAATCTTAATTTTGAAACATTATTTAATTAAATTATTATATTTAAGACATATACTATTATATATTTGTTATTTTGTTGTATTGATTTGAAAAATAAACAATATTAACTATTTTGGTGTATATAATATTGATTTTTTTAAAAAAATAGATTAAAAACATCTATTTTTTACAAAAATTTTTTGAAAAAAATTGATGTGCTAATAAAATTATATAACATTCTTTGTAAAGTTTTATAATTATATTATCTAATTTCTTAGTATCTACTTAATATTTTTGTTCAAAATCTCACAATAATATTGCTTCCAAAATATCTTTTTGGTTTAAATAGCAAAAGTGTAAAAGAATTTACTAAAAGCTTAAACAAAAACACAAACCTGCTATTATTATATATCTGCTTTTTGATGTTTCACATATATAAACTTCATCAACAGCAAGTTTGTTTGTATAATACAATAGTATTAATGTCTACTTTGTTAATTTTCTATATCTTTTTGCTGTAATTTAGTTTTTTTGTTGTTAACCAAGAGATCATTAGAGAGTTGTAATAAAATTTTGTAAAATTTTAATTTCTATTTTAAATTAAACTGCAAAATTGATTAATTGATTTTTATAATCTAGCTAAATCAAAATTTAAAAATTTGTAAAAAATTTATATATTTTAACAACCAAATGGGTTTTTAAAATCAATTTTATAAAAATTATATTATTGTAAATTTTGTAGCCTTAGTAGTAATGTCTAATATAATTTAAAATTTTGTTTTTAATATTCTAAATTTACTATTTATATTCTTTGCAAATTTAACTTTTTTTAGCAACTACTAAAATATGCTTAAAAAACTTTATATATAAAAGAGATTAAAATTTTAGCATTAGCTACTACATACATTTTCAACTAGGAGAATCTACAATACGGTCTTTTTAATCATGATTAGATCCATTAGATCCAACATCTGTATCGGAATCATCTTGCCCGAGATAATCATCAATGGTCATAGCACTAGCAACTTTTACATTGTCTCCAAACTCAATGATTTGTCCTGGTGGTTCCACTATAACTATTAACGATTTATAAAATATATTGAATCCTTGATAAGTTACTTGTAAAGTAGGTTTTTCGTCCTCCTCTTTTTCATTTGTAAAGCTATCATGTAAATTTTGAGAGGATTCATCCTCTTCGGATAATGTTGACTTTTCAGATGGAAACACATATTTTTTATTCTAAAGAGAATTCAAATAAACAAAATCATTAAATCTCGAATAGATACCGAAGGCTTGATTGAACAACTCAAAGTAACAACCTTTTCCAGCACAGAATGTCTCACATCAGTATTTTTGAAATAATACGCAAACTGAAACCTTGCTATTCAAAATAGATCTCATCAAATATGCAATTATATTTTACGATTATACAAAAGCAAAATATTAGCAAACTTGCCTTCACGATAAATATCAGACCCAAATTTCTTCTTTTCTCGGGAAAACTTTTTTGGTATTAATTTTTGTAATGCTGATAAAACTTCCTATATGTGCAAATCATTTAATTGTCACGAATAGAAAGTTAAACACAACACTATCTCGATACTATCTCGTGACTTACTTGAAATATAATATCATTGAACCAATTAATATGTTCTGGCTTTAGATAAAGTATTAATGGTAACACCTGCTTCTCCGATATGCGTAAATATCTAATGTTGTGCGTGGAATAAGTTGAATGCTTCAAAGACATTTTAAGAGTTAACAAAATTTGGTGACCTTGTGGAGAAATACTTGTGTGAGGGGTACAAACTCAAAAAAGGAAAGTAGAAATTTATTTAAAAAATGGGTTATCTCAAATTTTTGTATATAAAATAGGACTATTCATTAATCAGCTTTATTAAAAATAAGCTACTTTTTCTGTTTTTTATTGAATAAAACTATGTCATGTAGCACAGATGACCAACCGATTTTTTTATATCTAAAAAAATTACATCCATCAATGTTAAATGGTTTAATTTGCATCAAAACAAAGAATTTCAATCAAATCTTAAATCTTAATTATCCTATTGAAAATTTTATCTAATTTGACATGCAAAAAAACATTAAAAAAATTGCAAACTCCGATATTAAAGATATACAAAGCCGTCGTTTATAAAATGAATTACAAGTTTAGTATGCTTAATCAATCATTTAATTAGAGTTCATCAGGCCACTTAGTTGACCCAATAACGTGCTATCCACATTTCTAATGTAATTTTGATTAAATACTTGTGACCCGCCATTAATTGCTTCACACTCCGCTATCTTCGTACGAATATATTGAATAAGATTTGTTGTATGAATTGGATCTCTCTGCAAAAGCTATAATAAAATTTTAACCCAAATTAAATACAATCAAAGAATACAATCGTCACTAAATTGTTTGTTAAATTTAATCCTTTCAAAAAAGGGAAATAACTTACCGCACGTTTTCTTTTTGTTTCTGGCGTGTCATCATGTTCATCACTTTCTATCGAATATTCTTCTTGCCAATAAACTAAAGTACTTTAAAAAAAGAAAGTTTAATAGATTACTTACAATTATATACTTAATATTTTGCATCAATTGTTACAAGAAAATAATGATATTTACTCTCCACCACCAGACTCTCTGATTTCACTAAGTACATCACACCAGACGCCAATAAATTGCTGTAAAGATCCCAAAATTGTTGGATTTGTCGTGGTAATTATAGTTGCAAATGCCATGGCATTCAATTTCCTTTGCTTTGGATGTCCTATATTGTCAAACTGTGTTGAATCATATTTTTAAAATAAAAATGTGGTTAATAAATTTCTAAATAAATTTCAATCATTAATCTTTCATTTACCTTATCTAGCCACACTTCCAACACCTTTTCAATCAAATTGATTTGTGGCAAATTGTATTGTTGATTAGCAATCGCTACATACTGTATGAAAAATTGTGGCTCAATAATAACTATCCTAGCTAGTATTGAAATATAGCTAACAATGACATATGGGTATTCCTATTGACAAATAATACAATAATTAAACAACTATTTAAAATAAAATAAAATAAAATATATAACATTATTAAGAATATACACCTCACTACCAGACAAGATAGAGTTGAGCAGCTTCCATAAAAGGCCTGTATTGATCATAGTTTCACTTAATGTTTGAAAAGGGCATGTTTGCAACATGATATCGATAACCTGGATTATCGCACGACAAGCTTCAGAATTCAAATCTCCCAACAATCGAGTGAAAGCATCCATAATTGGATGACAATATGACTGCCGTACAAAATAAAATATAATTAATATAAAATGATTGTTGAAATGAACTGTTTAAACATTACTAACTTGTGCAATCATCTCTGGTACTAATACTATGTAACTTTCAAGTATCCTTAGAACTTTTTTGAAATTTTCAGTTCCATATTCCATTAATCCTATAACAGCAGGGACAAGACTAAACATGAGTGGCGTACACTCCATTGAATTTTCAAGTATAGCCAACCAAAGATCCAATGCTTCTTCCAAAAGGTAAACATATTCATCCTGGATATAAAAATGAAGAGCTTATATGAATTTATGATGAACTTATTATGAAAAAAACTTGGGTGAGTCAATAGAAGCATAAGTTTTTTTAATAACTTTTTTTAAACAAAGCAAACCAATTCAACAAAAACTCAATTAAATTTAATGACCATTTTCTAAATTCTGAGTTTGTAGAATTTATTTAAAAAAATTTTTAACAAATTTGATTAGGTACTTGTTATCTCAAAGTTTAAGTTTTATAAAAAGTTTGCTTGATTTCTATTGACTCGTCCAAAAAATCATATCAATTTTAACGTGTAATTAATATTGCACTCACAGTGCTTGGATCCACACTATATTGAATTATCGGTATTATGAATTCGTGAAGATTAACAGATTCTACTCTCAATGCCTATAAAAATATACGCATTTGTTTAATGCAAATGTGAGAACTTGTAAATTTATGTTAAACTAACCTAACCTGAACAAGTTTGGTCAATATCAAAAGAATAGCCGGTTTAAACAAATGTTCATCATGAGCAGCCTGCCACAAAGGTGGTAATAAATTTGTTATCTTCTCCGCAAAAGGGGCGATCTAAATATTATTGGCAACCAACGGGTAACATTAAATCAATGTGGCTAATCTTAAAATAAACTTTTGATAAATATTATTACCAGCTCTTCCATTCTTTCTACTATAAGAGATAAACAATTCAAAATTCTCATTCGACTTTCAAACTGTTCCACTTCTCCAATCAAGCGCGTTAACAATGTGACCGCTCGATCAAGGTATGGTACAAATCCCTCGGAATCAAAATCCCATTCATCCACACGTATTCAAATTAAGAATGAATGTACACAAAGAAGAAGAAGAAGAAATAGAAAAAAAAAAAAGGATATAATTTCCCAAATTAATTGCGGCTGTCATCCTAACGATCAGATCTTCTTCAGGGTTTATTAAATATGTCATTGCATCGTATACTTTTGGTCGATTTTCTTTTGACACTTTGACGCATACCCATCTTCCAATCACCCATGCGATGCGGCGACGGATAATTTTAAAGCTGGATACAATGTCATGCCAGATATGAGCTTTTATTTAATGATAGAATAAGTTACAAAGATACGTACTTTGGATTATTATTTGCAACTTCAATTAAAAGGTTGTTCACGAGCCATGAGTCGAAATCAAGTTCATCGTATAATTCGTGAGCTCCAAGGCCTACTGCACAGTATACTGCGTCTTTGAGTATCAGATCACATGTTTGGGATTCTATAAAATCAATGGAATTATAAAAATTATCAACAATTCCCTTTTCTCTCTCTTTTTTTTTTTTTTGTTATGACAAAAATAATTTCTACATGTCAATTAGGTTAGGTGACACGGTAAAAATTTAAAGCGTGTCCTAACTGAGGCATTGCTCTCTTATTATGCCTTAAGATGTATTAGGCATGCCACTAATATATTGGACAGTACATAATAACATAATACGATAACTAATAAGTCAGAATTAATTGTATTAATCAATCATATGCATAATTATTTTCCAGTCCAAAGGCATGCCCAGGGATCCCGTGCCACCTACCTTAATGTCAATTCCAATATTGTGTTGATTTAGAATAAGACCATCATGATTATGAAATATAATAAATATCTCTTTGATACATCCGACCCATATTCTTAATAAGAACAAAAACTTACGACCTGGGAGCATTATGGAAATAGAAATCAGTAAAAATGATTATATGTTCTAATGTTAACTTTTTATAGAAAATAAAGTCAGATATGCTACAATTTAATCCTTGACATTAATAGTCTAATAAGACCGTCGTGAATATGTGGTATCATCATCTTCACTTAATATAAAATATGATATAATTACTTACTTGCGACGTTCTCGATCAATTTAACAATTTTTGGCGACAATGTATCCCGATACTGTGATAATAAATCCATAAAAACTTTCTCTGCACAAGGCTTAATACAGAAAGTAAACGATAAAGGTTAAACAATAGCGAAAGTAATAATGACAATTATAACTTTCTTAAATCTGTCATCATACCCGTAATTGATGCTCCCAATGGTCGGACTCATCATAATTAATCCACCCTTCTGGGTCCTCTTCCCACATTATTAAATCATCCTTTCTTAAAATAATCAAATTTGAGATCAATAATTCAGCACATGACTCAACAAAATTGGGTGTTAATATTTGCTCATCCACGACTCTCATTGCTTCAGATACTTGCAGATCTTTGGAATCTTTAAAAGTCCAATGTATATGGCGAAATTTAATATAAATGAACCTAATTACATAGGTAATATCTGTAAAATGCATAATACTATAGTATACCTCTAAGACCATGATTATATGATGATTTTCTGATTATGCTTTTTAAGAGCAATAATGCTTGTATTAAATATTTTTCTATGAGAGGAGACTTGTATGACAGATCTGCATTTAAATATGAATATAAACTATCAGAATCATTATATTTAAGAAAAAAAACCCCGTAGAATTTGTCACACCTTCATTGGATTTTCCGTAAGTTACCAGTAATTTCCAGTAATATTGAATAACATCTACAGACCCTGGCGTCATTATAAAAGAAATAGGATGTGTTTTTAACAGTTCGATATAAAATTTTCCCATCAGTGTGATATGTGCATCAATAAGCTCTAAACTTGGAGACGCGGAATTTTGAAATGCGTTCCCTATAAACATATTTATAATGCAAAAATGTTTTAGCTTTTTGTATTAAGCTTAAAAGTCAAACACATTATAAGAAAAAACGTACTCAAAGCATGGAACTTTTGCAGATGTTCCAATACCAAAAGCAAAAATGTCTTCATATTATAATCAGTAAAAATTGTGAGAAAATAAAATCACCCATAAGAATAAAACAAAAGCAATCTTTATAACCACTTCTTACCTTCGTTTCATCAACTTTGCTAATATCTTTAAATCCATAAACTACCAGACGTCGTATGCATTTCAAGGCCGACAAAGAAGTTTCCAGATCAACAGTATCACCAATATTGTTAGAAGAAACCAAAGTGAAAAAACGATTGGTATGCTCTACGTAAATCCCAGCAACATTACGAAGCAATTCTGGTGCAATCTTTGTTTTTATGAAACGAAGTTATTACATATAAGATTCAGGATAATTACCATATATAGAAGTAATATTATAATAAAAACCTCTTGCAACATTCTTCGATCTGGCCCCA